ATTATATTAAGTGAAATAAGCCAGATGCAAAAAAGACAAATACTGCATGATCTCCCTTATATGTGGAATAGTCAAACTCATAGAGGCAGAGAACAGTTATTGCCAGAGGCTGGTGGGAGGAGGAAATGGGGAGATGTTGCACAAAAGGTGCAAAGTATCAGTTATATAGAAGGATTAAATTCTGGAAATCTAAAGTACAACAATTTGACTATAGTTGACAACACTGTATTGTACATTTGAAATTTGCTAAGAGAATAGATTTCCAGTGCTCTCATCACAAAAAAAAGAAAAGAAAGAAAATGGTAACTATATGAGGTGATAGATATGTTAATTAACTTGATTATAAGTGAGTATTTCAGTATATATATATATGTACATCGAATCAAGTTATATATCTTCTTTCAAAAATTTAATCCATATGTGAGTTCAAAGCAAAAAATAAAATTTCAATGTACCAAAAAAGAAAGGGACACTTAAGGCCAGAGAATCAAGTGGGAGTTGTAGCTGGACAGCCCTTGAGGGACCCATTACCAGCTATTTAGATTAAGAACACAATGAAATGTCCCAGCAGGGGTAGGAGTTGAGGGTTGGGTGATAGAGCCAAGAACTATAGGCACTTAACTAAAGCCTGAGCTAATAAATGCTGTGAATAGGAATTAAATAATGCCCTGTGAACAGGAATTAAAATTATTTGTTTAATGACCCTGGTACAAAGTCTAGAGGGTGAGTGCTTAGATAAGACCCTTATTAAAAAATCAGAATCCCAATCCTGTATCATGCATGAGTGTGGAGTCTCAGATTTTGTACTGTCCTCCCAGTGCAGAAATCTGAACTGAAACACTAACAACAAACTTTCCTGGAACCAATCCTATAAGGCCCCTGTCAGCAGCAACCCCCAAACTACCCCCGTTGGGATTCTCACTCCTGCTGAGGATGAATTCAGAGACTAACTGATTAAAGAATACAATTTCTCCATCAAAAAAACTGAGAGTGGAACAAATCAACTAAACCGTTCATAAATAAACAAATTCCATAATTTCAAAGTTATGGAAATGTTGATGGGAAAGGGTGATGAAGATGGTGGAGATGACAGAGGAGAGCTGCTGAGCTGGGGACATGGACTAACTAAGTCTGGACACAGTCTCCAAGAGGACAGGGACTGGGGTCATGTGAGAAGACATTAAGTGAAGGAAGGAGGTTGTCCCACAGCTTTCCTAGGTGACTTTTCTAGGGTCTTTAGTTTAAAACAATCTGGGTCCACTCCAGGAAAGACTAAATGAGCCTCAAATCATAGACAATTTCCAGAAAACACAGCCTTCAACATCTTAATCCAAAAACTATATTTGAACCAACGAATATGCCAGGCATGTACCCCAGGAAAAAGAGGCAGATGCCCCGGTCCACATTAAAGTGTCTCCTTCACAAAACTTCCCAAATGCTACCACTGCCTCTAGAAGTAATGAGGGTCTTGAAGCCTGCATGCCCTAGGCCTGCCATCCTGCGAATCTGAGTACAGGGTCATCCCTGAGAGAAAAGAAGAGGAACAATACTGGAGGTCAGACCCCCAAATACGCTTTTAGAAGTCAGATATAGGTCCCACCACTATCTTTTTGACTAGCACCACTCTAGGTGGATATTGGCAAATTTGGGCGCATGAGCAAATGAACTTGAAGCCAGCCAAGTGGTGTGTTCACAGAAAGGAAAGAAACTCTCTTGGCTTTTGGTACCTTTTTATAGCCATCCATTAAATGTCCAATTTTGTGTAAAACCTCCAAAATAATCCTAGTGGAGCTTTTCTGATGGTAAAAATCATTCAGTGATTTAGATGTAAAAATTTTCCATCATCTTAACTGCCACTTTGTACTTCTGTACTCCATAGGAATCTGGAATCTGAATCTGAAAATGCCCACATGATGGTATTCACTGCTCCGTAGGGCCATGTGAAATTGAAACAGTCTCGTATTCTATTTCCAAGCTGGGAATAATGCTAAATAGTACGCAATTCCCCTTAGAAAGCACAGAATGAAAGTAGGGAACAATTTGGTTGTACGCCCTTGGTTGCTCGTTAGAATCACCTGCGGAGGACTGCCACTTTAGAGTAATATTGGCCAATACCACCAATTAACACTCATTTTCCCTAATGCAATGGCTGGCAACATCTACTGCATGTTAGACTCTCCTATGGAGCTTTTAAAAATGCTAATGCCTAGGCTACACCCTCAAACCAACTAAATAAGAACATCTGGGGCTTGAAGCATGGATCCATTTTTAAAGCTTGCTAGGTGATCCTAGTGTTGAGCCAAGGTTAAGAACAACCATTCTACTCCAGGGCTTCTCAAACTTCAGTGGGCATCAGAATCTCCTGGAGAGTTTATTACAACATAGCTTCAAACAGACAAATCTATAGAGACAGAAAGTAGATTAGTGGTTCCCTAGGACAGAGGGAGAGATGGGGGGATTGGGAAGGGCTACAGGTTTCTTTTGGGGCTAATAAGAATGTTCTAAAATATATAGTGATGGTCATACAACTCTGAATACATTTAAAGCTGCTGAATACATTTAAGGCTATTGAATTGTACGAGTATACTTTAAGTGTATGAACTGTACATATGTGAATTATATCTCAATCAAGCCGCAAATACACACACACACACACACACACACACACACACACACACACGCATGCATGCACGCATGCACACACAGGTTTCTGCCCATCCCTAGAGATTCTGTTGCACTAGATCTAGAGTGAAGCCCATGGGTTTGTCTTTGTAATGAGCTCCCAAGTTGATAATGATTCTGCAGATCCACAGACCACACTGCTCCAGCCCACAGAAATGCACTGTGTTTAAACCTTCTAGCCTTTACAAGCATGATAATATTTCACTGCCAGGGGCTCTTTTGATGTCAGAGGCTCTTTCTTCTTTTCTCTTGACCATAGAGCATCAGGTGCCACTGATGCTTCCAGGGTTGTCTCATAGAAATGAGAGCCAGGATTGCAAAGGGAAGATGTGATGTGAACCCAGAATGAGCACCATGGAGCCAGGACATGTCCCCCAGTTCCACCAAGCACTGTATGGGGCCCAGAGAGAGGCAGAAAAAAGACAGGGCACCATTCTTGATTTTGTGTTATGATCTAAAGAGAGGGAAATGATAAATGCCTACATGTGAAAATCGGGATTTATAGAAAATGGCAAAGCAATTCATCCCAAGGTCCCTCGAAAAAAGTTAAACTGCTATAAAATGTTTACATGGACTTTTCTTGCAGTATTCCAGCAAAGCCAAACTGTACAGATACAAGGTAAGCAGAGTCCTCAATTACAAGAAACAGAAATTCTTAGCAAAATGGCAGTTACAATGAGAGGATTCACAACATGCACCTTCTATAGGAATGACAACGCCACTAGCAGTTTTGCTCAACAAACCAGTCCTGGTGCAGACTCCAAGGTAAATAACCTGGATTCCCCCACAACCGCCTTCAAAGCTCTGGAAAGTGATTCCCTCTGCAGTCACTCCCTAAGCACTGCCTCCTATTCAAACATGAGAAAAATCTCAAAAAATCTCAACAGAATTCCTAACCACTGTTTGCCATGCAGTTTGCTAGTTGGGCGGTCACCATTGCTGCTGCTAGAAGTAAGGGGAAACAAAAGGACCACACTTAAAAAAAATACAGAACTGAAATTTGAAAAATAAGCTAGGTCACATTTTGACATGTAACATAAAATAGTAGAAAGACTCGCACTCCAGTCTGGGCGACGGAGTGACACTCCAAATAAAAAAAAAATAGTAGAAAGACTCAGACTCAAATTAACATGTACAGTGAAGTTATTCTATACCTCCAAGCTTCCTCGTCTGCTAAAAAGGGGAGAAGGCACAATATACAAACCGCATCATAAACCATACGTTATATATTTCAGTTCCTGGCATATTAGAATAATAAAAAAATAATAACAGGAGCCGATAGTCATTGAGTGTTTATTATTTATTAAGTACTCTTCTAAGATTTATATCTGTATTGTGTAGAGGGTATGTATTATGTAGGTTGTATGTATTTATGTATGTATTGTGCAGATTATATGTATCATGCAGATTGTATGTCTGTATTATGAAGATTAAAGAATGTGTATATATACATATATATTAAATAAATGTGTATATATACACACACATATACATACACATTTAATCTTCACAATACTCTATTACAGAAATCAGCAAACTTCTTCTGTGAAGACCAAATGACATATATTGCCGGGTTCGCAGGCCATACAAGTCCCCATCCAACTATTCAGTTCTGCTGTTGTGGTTCAAAAGCAGCTATAGACAAAATGGAAACACATGGGCATATCTGTCTTTCCATAAAAATGTGTTTATAAAAACAAGAGGCCTGTGGATTATAGTCTGACAAACCTTGCTCCATGAGGCACGTATTATCATCATCTTCATTTTACAGATGAGAAAACAGAAGCACAAAAGGATCAAATGACAGCCCGAGGTCCCTCATGAAAACCACCCTCAAATGGGGGTGGTTTTGTGTTTGCTGCTGCCAGGGGTCTTAGGAAGTACACAGTCAACTATTACACCATAGCAGCTGCTGATATCACCATCACCACAAGTAAGACTCTCACTCAGTCCAAATCCAGGTTTTGCTAACTCAAAATATGCTGGCTGGCCAGTCAGTCAACAGTACACTCAGAGCTGCCTCAGAGGTTGAAAAGCCAATTCAAATCCTCCCTCTTCTTCCCTCTCCCGCCCCAACATTTGCGGCTGGAGTTCTCTCCTCTCTGCCTCCTCTAAGCTCTCAGTGCCTTATTCTCTGTACCTTCCAAATTGATCTTTTATTTACTATATGCATTCTCCCCAACCACTTTAGAGGCCAGGATCAGCACATCACAGGGGTTCAACTCCCACATGTCAATGCTTCTGTGAATCTGTTAGTAGCTGGATGACAGGCAGAGACTCTAGGGACCTGTGGCAGAGAAGGGAGATAACACACTCACCAGTCCATGGCAGGCACTGAGGGCTGCCGTCCCGACTCTGGTGCCCTGCTGCAGAACTGCACCCCTGAGATGGCAGTGGGGGACAGAGGACTCCATCATCTTTACATTCGAGAGGTTTCCATATCTCTTCTCCACGATGTAGCTATTGGAAAGAAATCCTCGATTGACAGTCAAGTTGAAAAACAGGTCCTTCTCTTCATGAGAAATCCTGTAGTACACCCGGTCCTCCGAGCCATCCAAATCTCTCTTCCTCCTGCTGCTCATGATAGAATGGTGCAAGCCATATGACAAAAAATGCCCTCGGGCATCTACTTGGACAGGACCTACCATGTGGTATTCCGGCAAGGTCTTAAGAAAATGCTCTGAAAGAAAAGGAGACACAGACGAAAACTGAGACAGATCCAAGCTGAGTCTGTAACAAAGCAAACCCACTTCCATTTGGAACTTAGAGTCTAGCTTTTTGATTGCAAAATTCCACTGCTGACTTGAAGTTTAGAGGTCTTTTACACCCTGCAAATACTGTTAACGTTAAATTCCCAAAACAACTCAAATTTACATGGTGCTCCCTCCACAGTCATATGTAGTAGTCTGAGATGACACTAAGGTGTACAGCTCTGGCTATCAGGTGTTTCACCAGAGATAAATTAAGATGAAAATTAATTCCTGAGGAAAGGTAGGGGCAAGAGCCAAAGAAGGAGCAGGATACTTTCAAGTTTAGGGTTCATTAATACACATCACAGAGCTTCACTGTTCATGATAAAGAGCTTGAATGCCTTAGGAACATCCCGTCAAGTTAGGTTACAGGGGAAATACTACAAAAACAGCGAACCCATCATATACACACAGACAAGCCTCACCCCAGTTATAGCATAAGAGTGTTCTATAATGAAGCAAAGAGTGCTTAAAGGAACTTGGATTGTTCTAAAGCTTACAAAAGACACATAATAAAATGATAAGGGAACATGTTAGGATCCGAGTCATTGACTAAAAATATGAAAATTGCCACTTTAAAGATGCAAAGCAGGAATATTTGTTCCTTCCACACACCAGAACATGTATACTTTCTGACTTGCCCAAAATTTTTTTTTTGAGAAAGTGGGATTTATTAAGAAGACAAAAAAGTACCCACAGTAGAAGAAGACCTGAAAAAAAGTTGTCCTTGACTCAAAAAACAACAAATGCTGGAGAGAATGTGCTCTACACTTCTACACTGTTGGTGGTAGTGTAAAATAGTACAGCTCTGTGAAAAACAGCATGACAATTCCTAAAAGATCTATTAATCGACCTTCCATATGATCCCACAATCCCCTTCCTAGGAATATACCCAGAGGAACTCAAATCACTCTTTAAAAAAGATATCTGCACACGTATGCTTATTGCAGCATTATTCACAATAGTGAACACATGGAACTAACCTTGCTGACCATCGAAAGAGAACTGGATTTTAAAAATGTGATACATATACATGATGGAATATTATATAGTCATAAAGAAGAACAAAATTATGAACTTCTCAGCAACTTGGATGAACTTAGAGTCTATAATACAAGTGATCTATCACAGAAACAAAGAACTGAGTACCACATGTTCTCACTCATAAGCAGACTTTAAACAATTATCATAATACCATAAGAAAGGGATTGGCAATAGTGGGAAACTGCCAGGGGAGAGGAGGCACACCTCATCACAAGGGTTTCTGCATAATGAACATTTGTATACCTAACCCTGAATTGTACTCCACATCTTTAAAATTAAAAAACAAACCAATAAATAAAAAGAAACTAAAAAAAAAAAAAAAGACATCCAAATTAAATCTCCACCACTACATCCTTATTTTGATGTTTGAGAATAACAAAGGATCTAATCAGCAGGGAATCAGTCATCAATCAGGATGACAGATTGCTTAAAGAAAACCTTGGGGAGACACCTTTATTAACAAGGGTGCCTGAACGATGCACATTTGTATACCTAACCCTTAACTGTATCCCACAATTTTATAATAAAAAAATGTTTAATAAAAAAAGAAAAGAAAACCACTAATCATTTAGTAAGATAAACCAATCAGTTGCTTCAAACAAAAAGAAAAGATTCTACTTGCCACTCTATTTGCCACCTTCTCACTGTCCCCGTTGCACATTCTGAGTTGCTTATACTTTGCTCAAGTTACTTCTGTTGCAACTATACTGTCTTTTGTGTTCTATCAAGATCCTGTTTATGCATCAAAGTCCCAACTCAAATTCTTCGTCTTCATTCTCCTAATGACCCTAGTTGAAGTTATCTTCCCTTCCCCTGAACCTTCATGCTTTTACATTCTGTACCTCCCAGTACAGCTTTATTTTACACTGCCTTTTGTTTATTACACTATTTATCGCCAAATCCTTTAAATTCAGAATCTTGCACATCACAGGTTTTCGGTTCATAAGTGTTGCTGTGCCAGTGAACATGTTTGTAACTGATTAATTAAAATAACTGGACTTGATGGTGTACAGGTGTACAATTATAAGAGAGCATTTTTTAGTAGACAACTGCCTTCAAACACACTTTGTGGAATTGTTTTCTCTCTGCCTTGGATGAAATATGGGGCAAAACAGAGTTTTCACACTCAGGAAAACTGTGAACTAACAAACTGTCTCAATGTTTGGGTATAAAAAGCCTAATGCAGCAGTTAGGCACAACAGATGACACAGAAACATGAGCAAATCTTTAAAGCAATGCTCAATGATAAATAAGAAACAAGTTCATGCAGCACTATTAACATGAATGGAAAATATACACACACCAAAACAATAATAAAAAGTTTGCCAGAACACACAAGAAAAGGAATACATATGGAACCCATTAAAATAGTTTTCCATGGGGAGAAATGGGAGTGGAGAGTGTGAACAAAAATGCATAAATACATGAAACAAAAAAGGGGTTTGCACAAATTAATGATACTAGTGTACCATGAACTGAGGAATATAATTCAGACCTCTCTCCCGTCCATTCACTCCCCAAGACATGTCTGGGCCAGTCTGGTATTGGAGTATCTTCCAAGTCCAGGTCTAACTGAAGACAGATATGATGGAGTGGATGAGACGGATATAGTCAGCTCCTGTAGGATTTTTCTTTCGCTGCCCTTCTCTGTCTTTTCAAGGGTTGCAGTAAGGAAAGAAGTGTGGAGCAGAAAAGTCTTATTCAGCTGGGTAGAACTGTCATCTGGCAATGGTGATTCATGTGTGGCCAATGTCCAGATGCTGAATAATCATAGCAATTATGCAGAAACATGGAAACAATAGGATGTAACAATAAAAAGGTAATAAATAATAAGTATGTCTCCACCATAAGTGCAACTTAGATACGAGAGGAGACTCCAAAAAAACTGGAATTATCTTTTGGAGGGCTCTCAGAATTTGTTCCTCTAGTTTTTATCTGGAAGTTTTGAATAGGTTACATCACAACTGGTGGAAGAAATGTCCCAAGTTTTGGCACACACATAAGTGGTTCTTCTACCATGACAATGCACCTGCCCACGTTGAGCGTTCAGAAGTTTTTGACCAAAAATGCCATGACCTCATCTCCCACCCTGCCTATTCAACCAATCTCACCCCAGCAACTTTTTTGTTTTGTTTCCCAATGAAAAAGTTATCAAAGGGAAATGTTTTGCTGATGTGGCAGAGGTGAAACAAAAAACAGCAGAAGCACTAAAAGGGATCAAAATTGATGAGTTCAAAACTGTTTTGAGTAGTGGAGGAAAGCATCTTGATTAGGTGTATTGCATCAAACAGTCCTTTGAAGGTGACTGAAGTTTAAACATGTAAGAGCAAATATACAATCAATTTTTCTATAGTAAATTCCTGGTATCTTGAGTTCCCCTCATATATATGTACATATATAGTCACAAGAACAAAGCCTTTGAGATAATGCGTGGAAGTGAAATTTGTTCTAATGGTGAGATTTGGGGTGTCGTTTTTCCTTTTGAAATTTGTATTTCTTATGTTGTTTTTCCCAATTAACAATAAATAGGTGAAGAGGACTTGATGGGAAAGTAAAGGATGCCAACATTCATGGTATTAAGGTAGTCTGATACCAGTGGCTCCCAGGTCCCTGCTGACTGTGCCCATCATAGCTAGCTATGCCCCTTGGGAAGAATCAACCTTGTAGAAGGCATCCTTTGGCCCTAAGATGAAATTCAATGAAGAGGAGGTAAAACAGTGACAATATAGCATGGGGTCCTCTCAAGCAACACAAAAGGAAAATGAGTTTGGAGAAACAGGTCAGTAGGCAGGAGGGAAGGGCGTAAGAAAAAACAGGCCAGAGGGTAGAGGCAGCCTTAAATAGCAGGCTAGTTATTCTTTCTGCAGTGTATGGCCATCGTGGCCATCCAACAGAGAGAAATGACAACTCCAGACCTGAGTTAGAACCACAGTAGAGGAGTTATTTAAATTTATTTAGAGAACAATACATCTTTTTCCATAAATTTCCTTACTTAAAATATCTCTTTTAGGGACTACTTCTGAAGATACATCTCAAAGATTTAAACATGATTTTTTTTGAGACAAGATCTCGCTCTGTTGCCAAGTATCACTGGAGTGTGGTAGCACAATCATAGCTCACTGTAGCCTCCAACTCCTTGGGCTTAAGCGATCCTCCCACCTAGCCTCCCAAGTAGCTGGGACTACAGGCACATGCCACCATGCCTAACTAATTTTTTTAATTGTTTTAGTAGAAACGGGGGTCTCGTTATGTTGCCCAGGCTGGTCTCAAACTCCTGGCCTCAAGCAATCTGCCAAAGGACTGAGATTACAGGCGTGAGCCACAGCACCCAGCATAAACATGATTTTTTTCAAAGTATAACATGAAAGACTAAAGCTTGCCTAAGACCCAGCACTTATTGACGGAAGAATAAAAGAGCAAACAAATTTACAAATTTTGACCTAGTTGCTTTCGATTGAATGGATTTTTAAGAGAGCCAACTTAAGTTGGCTATATAATAATATAAAAATAATAATTATAGTAACTGTGTAATGCACACTTGCTATAAACCAGGTTCCATAAGTCTTCCCTCATTCAACACTTAAAACAACTCTATGATACAGAGGCAGTCATTTTCCTCATTTCACAGATAAGGAAACCAAGTCTAAGGAGTCATTATGTGACATTATACTACATGACTTGGCTTGTAGCCCTGTGCTTCCTACTTCAAAATCATATTTGGGCCACTGCACTTCAAGTAACTAAAGAAGACTGAGCTCAGGGGTTCGAGAACAGCCTAGGCAACTTGGTGAAAATTTGTCTCTACAATAAATCAAAAAAATTAATCGGGCATGGTGGTGCATGCCTGTAGTTCCAGCTACTTGGAAGGCTGAGGCAGGATTGCCAGAGCCCAGAGGCTGTGGTGGCCATGAGTGTACCACTGCATGCACTCCAGCCTGGGCAAGAAAGTGAGACACCAACTCAATAAAACCAGAAGAGCAATTGTCCTTGGCAGACAGCATAACTGAGTCAGAGGTAATAACAGCGTCCTAGGGATGATGAAAAAGAACTGCTTGGTTTCTTTATGCCTCAATTTGCTCAACAATAATTGTCTTTTTATCGGGCAGAGCCATAGGGGATAAGATCAGTTTTCCCACTTGATCTGATTGCAAAGAAAGTAGCTAAGCCATGGCAGCTCATAAAAAGAAACCACAGATTTGATATTTTGTGTTAATTACAATAAGCTATACGGTCAGCAGGTTCGTTATCAGAGAGTGGGTGACCAAATCCAACCTTCTGTGGCATATTTTACAACTATGAGGGGATCAATACAAATGCTTCACAACATTCCAACATATGTACATTTCTAGAATTAAAAAATACAGTTGTATTTTTATGCTTACAGAGTGTGGTTTTATGTTGGCAGCCCAACCACAGTTGCCTCATCTGTACAACGGGCATAATCATAATAGTATCTGCATCCTAGGCTGGTTATGAGGCTCCAATGTATTCAAATCTTAAAGAGATTTAAAATAGTGCTTGACAAATAATATTCATTAGCTAAACACTAGCATTGATGGTATTTTGTTTTTAGTTTTTGTTTTGAATTGGAGTCTCACTCTGTCCCCCAGGCAGGAGTGCAGTGGCACATTCACAGACATCCCAGCATAGACCTGCTGGGCTCTGGTGATCCTTCCGCCTCAACCTTCCAAGTAGCCAGAACTACAGGCATGCACTACCATACCTGGCTAATTTTTTATTTTTACTGTAGAGATGAGGTCTCACCAAGTTGCCCGGGCTAGTCACAAACCCACAGGCTCAAGCAATCCACTCGCCATGGCCTCTCAAAGTGCTGGGATTACAGGCTGAGCCACCGAGCCTAGCTGCATTGATGGTATTAAAGCTAGAAACCTGGCCTCCAGGGAGCACTGAGGAAATAAATATCTATAACCCTCAAGCAGATACAAGGGAGAGATTCACACTCACCTTGGTCTTCTCTCAGTGGGTGTTTAGTTTGGCAGATTAGTTAGCTCTAATCTCAGTCAACAGAAAGCAGAACTCAGAGGAGATATGACAAGGATAGAGAAATAGGTGCCACAGTTCTCAAGGGAGGTATTACTAATCCTGTTCTTCATCGAGCCTCATCTCAGTAAAGTGAGGGGGGAGGATTTGCACCTTGGGAATCTGACCCCAGAGCCCACACTCCTAAACTCTGCCCTCACTGCATCTTGAGGGTCTATCACTGAGCACCAGATGTCAAGGTGGATTGTCAATAAGCCGGGGGGTGGGGCATGGGCAGGGGTCAGGGGCTGGGACACATGGAAGTTACATCACAACCTGCACTAGAGTTTGTAGAAATAAATTATAAGCACTGAAAACTTTGATTTGCCTTGCTTAAAATTATATTTGAAACTATAGGTTACAAGTTTTCATTGGTACTTCATGAGAAACTTTGAGTGATGCCAGTTAGCACAAGTGTTTTTGAAAATACAAAACAAGAGATCTTTTATCCTCATCTTAGAAAGAAAGGAAAGGTAAGAGAATATCTCCCTATTAGTATTTATAATGTTTAAGGTTAAATTTATGGTTATTCTTTTTGTATAGAACACTTCTCAAATTTGCACATCATCCTTGAACAGGGGCCATGCTAATTTTCTCTGTATCATTTCAATTTTAGTATATGTGCTGCCAAAGCGAGCAAAATCTGGACTTATTCTTTATATTTATTTCTGCCTTAGAGAATAATTGAATTTCTAAGAGTCCTTACTTAAAAAGGTAATGAAATTCCTAAAATAGCCAGAGTTGTTTTTTTTTCATAATTGTCTTCCATGTAAGATCATTGTGACCTTACAAATGTATTTTCATTCTAGAAATGTACATATGTTGAAATGTCATGAATCATCGTGTTGACCTCCTCATAGTTGTAAAATATGCCACAGAAGGTTGGATTTGCTCACCCACTCTATGATAACTAACTTGCTGACTATGTAACTTATTGTAATTAACACAAAATAACAATCTGTAAGGGTTTGTTTTTTGTTTTCACAATATAAGAATATCTGAAACCATTTCCTCCTTGCAGAATTTTTTTTTTTTTTTTTTTGCAAGTAGAATAAATGATTAAAACATTTGTCTTGAAACACTACAATACTCCCTCTGTTTATTGCACAAGCCTGGAGCACATCTCTGACGTGGAGTAAAGTGCCTGCCCTGTTGATTTCACAGAGTTGTCCGGAGCAAAACAGATCATGGAATTGACTGGTACCTTGTATACAGTACATGTATAAGTAAACCTAAGGTGATATGATTGGCTGTAGGAGAGAGGCAGTTACGTTGTGTGCAAGATTAATATTCCTGTTGTTCTGATACTTGATTGTGAACCAAGAAATCTTGTGGAAGTCACAGCACATTCTTACATCACAAATGAGCAATGTGGAAAGAATACTGGGCAGAGTTAGTCAAACAGTTTGCTTATAGTCCCAGAAAGGGTTGGATTTATCTCCATATTTCTAACATCCTGACTCCGCCTAACTATTTTGGAACTAGAAGGAACCTAGTGTCTGAATCTGTCTCTAGCTGTGGAACCATTTACAAATCCCTTCACATTCCAGTGAAGTGGCGTTTAGTAGATGTTCAATGAATATGTTGACTTAACTGACACCCTGGATCTCTTGTTCCTCATCTGCAAAAATAAGAATGGGTGAGATGATCTCTGGAGTAACTTGAAAGTTTCAGAACTTGGGTGCAATTCAAAATCTGTTGTCAGAGTAGAAATGGAAGTCTAGGAAGATTGGCTAACTGTGAAGTTGCTGGATGTTCATTTGGAGGGAAAACCCAGGTCACTCCAGTTCCAGACAGCCTCAGCATTTCATTCTCTACTAGTCTGCCCTCACCCATCCCCGCTCCTGTTTCCCACTGCCCCCCTTAGTTCTAAATGGTAGTCTGCTTATGAATTTCTCCTTTGCACCAAATGTGGATTATTTGCAAATTCACTAGTGAATTGATTAAGATTGGTGAAAGGCTTTTAAAAACTGAAGTTATTTTTAAACCTAGCTAAATATGCATCAATAATCAGGAATATTTTACAACTATTTTTGAATATAGGATTTTGAATATAGTCCTAAAGGTGACTGGGGAAAATAACCAAAATCTCACTTTCCAGAGAGGAAAAACAAGGCCTAGTGGTGTTTGCTCCACACCAAGTTGAACTCCCTTACAAAGAAGATGTGGAGCAAGCAGAGCTGAAAACCAGCCCAGGAGAATGTGTCTTTGAACCAAATCATCTCCAAATGCCCTGGGAAGTGCTTGCAGGCTTTGTTTGTGCTGCCCCAGAAGAGAGATTTTTCACAAAGGGACTGTTTTTCAAAGAACAACAAGCGCTGCTATTTTAAACTTGGGGGTGGGAGATTGTATCTGGAACGTTTACACAAGGGAGTGTTGGCTGATTGACATCTAACCCCAGTGTTTGCCGGCTCCAGCTTCCAAGTAAAGCAAAGGCAGAGACTTGCTTCTGATGGCTCTCGAAGCCGCAGCAGATGAGTTCTCTAGCTGTATTTGACCTTTGCAACGTGGACTGAAAACCCTGCCTAGAAATCCTAAACAGGGACAGGTTGGTGATGTGTGTTACCCTAGGGGCCCTGGGAATGAGAGGGATGTCAGAAAGCTAAGGGGGACACTTCCTGAGACTTGAGCCCAGTCAGCAAACACAGGACTTAATGGATGTTAACTCAGTGGTCTGCAAACGTGTGTGTGCGTGCGCGCATGTGTGTGTGCGTGCACGCGAGTGTGAGAGTGTGAGAGTGTGTGTGTGTGTGTGTGTGTGTGTGTGATCCTATTATTGCTATTGGGCAGTGTTATATGATTCTAAGAGTCAAGCTACCTTGCTCCACCATTGACTGGGCTTACAAATTCTACAAGCTTCAGCTTTCTCATCTGTACAGCAGGGACAGTAACAATGGGACCTGCAACCCAGAAGGCTGTTGTCAGTGGTCAGATGGGCTGATACATCGAGTGCCACGTGGGCCATCACTGCTGCTAGGACTGTTGTCCCCCCCCCAGAGGCACAATGAACTCCTCACCATACAAGACAGTGTCGCTGACCCTTCCAAGACCAAAAAAAAGAGCAGAGGCAACAGTACTTCTCTGCTCCAGGTGATAGGCTTAAAAGAATAATAATAACAAAAATAAAACTGTGCACAACTCCTTCAATGCCTTCTATAACACTACAGGTTTCATGAAATTCAGAAAGAGAAACAGCCAGCAGTGATCAGCCAGGCAGGACAGGGAAAAGTGAGCCCCTGCAGAGGTAAATTTCCCCCCAAAGGGTTGTTATTTTTAAAACACAATCCTAAATCTTTCCAGGAAACCCAAACACAGCCAAGTGCGCTCAGTAGGGGGGTGGAATCACATTTCTCCTTTCCCGACCAGAAGTTTGAAACTAACTAGAAACACTGCAATGACTGCCAGTGACTAGTTGAAACTTTTAAAAATAATAATAATTTTCCATGTTCAGAATCTGGAAAACAGGGGGTTGAAACTGTGCAGCATTCAAAGAGGAGACAAAAGAGAATGAGAGAGGTTACTGGCTACCTCTTAGGTCTTTCAAAGACTGCAGTGTCATCCCTGTAAAAGAGGCAGCCAGAGCGAGGTACTCTCCTTTCAGGGAGAATGAAGGAATCACCACCTTAAATACTGAATTCTGAGAAAGCCTAGGTAGCGGAGCGCCCAGCCGGGACTTCCTCCCAAACGGCTTTGCAGAGTTCAGTGCTGCCGAGTGGGGGAAGGGAAAAGGGAGCAACCAAGCTCCCGCATGTCTTACCCCCACTGTTTTGAAAAGAAAGAAAGAAAAGCCACTGACCTTGCCTCCTGTCCGGGAAGCGAACCGGGCCTGGCTGAGGCTGTCTCCCATGGCACAGCGCCCCAAAATTAAGGAGCTGAGCCACCACGGAGAGGTTTGCAAGCCAGCAGCTCCTCTGGGCACATGGCATGATTCAGTAGCTGGGGAGAAGAAAAGTCAAAAAAGTTTTAGACCTCAGCTCCAGAAATCAAGTCCTCGCCTGAGGTCGAGCAGGCAGATGCCGGGGTGCATGGTCCAGGAGCGAGGGGACAGCGGCTGCAAAGTTGCCGGCGATTTCCCTTTGCTTTTTTAAGCAGAAAGGATCTAGACACCTTTTTCTCCCCTCCCTCCTCCCGAAAGGGAAGTGATCCAGCTGACAGTGTCTGCTTTCGGCGGGGTGTGGGATGGGTCGGGGCGGGAGGGCGCAGCCCACCCGGATCCCCAGCCCTCCGCCTTCCGCACGCCCCGCGGCCTCGCGGCCAGCGCTGTGCATCTTCCTCCGGGAATCCCACCCCCGCGCTGCCCCTGCCCCGCCCAGAGCCCCGGGCCGAGCTGGCCGAGCCGGCCAAATAGGGGACACTCGGGAGAACCACCCTGGGCAGCACTCGAGAAAGCCGCAAGCGAGAGGCCCCCAGGCCAGTCCCCTCACCGGGCTGAAAACCAGGGGTAGAGAGCCGGGGGAGGGGTCCCCACTAACTCCATCCTCCCCAGCTCAGTACTGCCCCCCTCCCCCCTTCGCTGCTGCTCTCCCAGTTCTGGAACTTTCCCTGACATCGCTCTATCAAGACTCCTCACCCCCTCAGCCTGCTCTGGGATTCTCTTCCAGGGCAGGCTGAGGCTTCCACTGGAAAAACTGATAGGCGATTTCTCTCTCTGCCAAGTCACACAAAGGGAAATGGTGTGAGCTAATCTGCTAGTTTGACCCTGACAAGTCCCTTCATCTGGACAATGAGGTGACTGGAGCAAATGCCTGCGGGCCCCTCTGAGTCTGCAAGTCTCTACGGGCTTTTTTACCTCTATAACTCCATCTTTCCTAGCCCACCTACATGCAAAGGAAACTGGGGAGTGGAGGAAGTAACTCAGCCTAAGAAGGTGTTCCCCCTGTTTACCCAGTTTACCTGAAGAAGTTGTCCCTTCAAAGGACATTCATTCATTCAGAGGCTCGAGCTTTTACATCAGTGAGAGAATGGATGCCACAAACCAGGGCGTTTGCCAGGCATCCTGAGAATTTACTGGGTTAATCCAAGCCAAGATTTTTCACCTCTGGGCTGGAACAGGCCTCCTTACTCCATTCAGGAGGAATTTGGCCCAGATATTGAGTTTTCCCTGGCTGCCAGCCAACCACATGTGTTCAGCAAGAGGTTTGGGATACCAACTCACCCACCTTGCACCGGGACAGGGCCTCCAAGTCAACCGCAGTGGCCCAAGTGCAACATAATCCTCATAGGCCTGGGCTGAATAGTCTGAAGGACTTCAAACTGGTACGCGTAGACTTGAAGACTTTTCAAGGAATATGTGCTGGTTTCCTGTTGCTGCTATTATACATTATCATAAACTTAATGGCTTAAAACAACTCAAATGTATTATCTCACAGTTCTGGAGATCAGGTATTTGAAACGGGTCTCACTGGGCTACAACCAAGGAGTTAGCGCAACTGCATTTTTTTCTGGAAGCTCCAGGGAAAAATCTGTTTTCTTGCCCTTTCCAGCTTCTAGATGCTGCCCGAATTTCTTGCCTCCACATCTTCAAAGCCAACAATGTCCCCTTTGATTCTTTCTCACCTCCCATCACTCCGACTCTCTTCTTCTTCCCTTTTCATCTGAGTCTTACAAGGACCTTTGTGATTATATTAGGCTCATCCTGATTATCCAGGATAATCTCCTTATCTGCTGATGAGCAACCTTAATTCCATCTGCAACCTTAAATCCTCCTTGCCATGTAACAGAACATGGTGTTATATTATCACAGGGAAGTCAAAGAACCACTTTGAACCTCTTTTCTTCTTATATAAATATCAAGCAACACGATCATAAGTGGAGTCAAAAGAGATTCAAATACAACAGGCATGATGGCCTGACAGAAATTCATTTGCAAGGGCACCAAAGAGCCACTTCGGCTAGAACTCTTTTTGTTTCTTTTTCTTTCTTCCTCTTTCCCTTTTTCTTTACTTCCCTTCCACTCTCCCTTCCCATTCTTCTTTCTCTTCTCTTTATGCTCTTCCTCTTCCTTCTCTTCTTTTTTTCTTCTACTTCTCTTTCTTCTTTTAATAACAAGCAGGATCTCATCCAAAGGTTACGATCACTCTTATTCCCATGTCCTGGAGATTTGTCTCCCAGGCAGAAATCCAAAGAACTCTGGGGAACTGGTAAGGTCCACCAATATCAGGAATGATCAGGGATGATCCATTAAGCATTTTGCCTTTGCAGTTTAACCTCTGCAACTCTAATGGTATTTCCCTTATTCTTCATCAATTCACTATCAATTCTCCACCAATTCAAGATCATAACCAAGAATATCTATTATCCAGAAGTTATCCAAGACTAAAATGTTAAAATTATAAAATCCCACAAAAGCTTTGAACTGTTAGCCTGTTCAGACCTTCACCCAGTACCTTGGGTCTTCAGCCTAGTAAGAACTTCCAGTCCTTTGATCTCTCCATCTTTGGTTTTCTAATAAACAGCATCTCTCGGGTCTCAGTGCCTTCAACATCTCATATCTTCCTCATCAAAATCTAATTTTGTTTTACCCCACTGCTGATTTTCTCTGCTTTTGTTTTCAAGTGCAGTTGAAGAAACTTGCAGGATTGCACTATCGATTCAGACCTCCAACTTCAGTAAGTTCTCCACACGGTTCAGCATAAACATATATTTCACTATGCTTCCTAAAATTCCTCCTACTCTTTCCAGAATTTACAAAATACTTCCAAAGCTTGGAGTTTCCTCAGGGTAGAAAGAAGACTTAATTTTCCTTAATTTTTGTTCTGCTCAATGGGAAAAGGTAACAAATCTTGGTGACCAAGGTTGGCAACAGTTTAAAAAGCTGACTGACTACCTTTTTTGTCCACTATAGAGAGAAGAACTGTGAAACAAATCACTCCAAATCATCTGTGAGCTGATATAAACATGTTGCCCTAGAGGAAAAACTGCAAAACCCTGTAAGGTCTAGAGTTGAATGCTGGCTAACAACAACAAGCATTTATCACACACTGACTGCATAGTTGGTGCTGTACTAACCACTATATAACCACTGCTTTATTTTATCTTCATAAAAATATTATTTGGTAGATGCTAGAAGTATCATAATTTTATAGATGGGGAAACAGACACTGAAAGGTTAAATAATTTGCCTAAGATCACATGGCTATGAAATGGAAAACCAGAATGAAGTAGTAAAGTTCAGAGAAGTTAAGAAACTTAGTAAAGCCACTAAGTAGATTCAAAGATAGGTCTATTTCACATAAGGCCCTTGTAATGTCCTCATTCACAAAAAATGAAGGGGATTAGAATATTGACATACAGACATAAACAGAGTAACTTGGGTAGTGATTTAGTTTATTACGTATTTTCCATGTAAAAATACAAATTGTGACAAAAGATCTAAGATGCCTCACAAAGAGCTCCCTCTGTTTCATTAGCAAATAGGGACACAAAAACTTCTCATACTTTCCTAATAAACCCCTAGAAACACAAGGGATGGCTGAGGTTCAAGGAAAATTAGCTCAATGCATCTTGTAGAACTGTCATTAACCCTGGAAATATAAAAGAAACTGACAGCTACCCAAAAAGCCCTGAATTGGCCTCAGGAATCATAAATGAATATGCCACAAAAAAGACTTTATATCTGTTAATCCTGTCTAGATACCACCACTCCCACCTCCTAACAAAAATCATTACATCCATTCTTTTAACAGGACTTGTCCTCAGCCAAGTCAGAGGGAAGAAGGGAGAAAAGTCTACTCTAAGGTTTTCAAGAATAGTTTGACCTTAACTCCCCTTGGAAGTCAAAAGGCATTGTCTTCCAAAGTCATATATTTAAATGTTGTCTTTTTAATCTTTCTACAATCCTTGGAAGAAGATGGGAGTAGATGTTTGGTAACCCTCGGTAATGTCAATTCACTTTTATTCTTCCATCCAAGTGTATTAAATGTGTAACCGGATCAGTAATTAGCACTACCCACTCTGCACATCCTCAAGCCCCAGAGAATTTGCTTTTTTGGCTCAGTTTGAGGATTCTGGAATCCCTTCATTGCAGATTTTATAAAGTTACCTGGCTTTGCATTTAAGTAGATACTGTACTGGACCATTCTTCTAATGCTGTAGTTAATCAGTTTACTTAAAGAAACATTGACATGGCAATGCCCTTTTGAAAACCATGACTGAAAAGACTGTGGATCCTTGATTAATGAAACATACTATTGACTGAAGGAAAACAGCATACTCCAGAAATAATATATAGTATTTGGATCAAAATGCTACAGTAAATTGAAACCAATGTCAGTTTGTAGATCATCTTAAGCTGAATGAAATGTAACAGTGGCCGGGTACAGTGGCTCAAGTCTGTAATCCCAGCACTTTGGAAGACCAAGGTAAGGGGATTGCCTGAGCCCACAGGTTCGAGAACAGCCTGGGCAACTTGACAAGACCTCATCTCTACAATAAATCAAAAAATTAGCCAGGCATGGTAGTGTGTGCCTGTAGTTCCAGCACTTGGAAGGCTGAGGCCGGAGCCCAGCAAGTCGACTCTGGGGTGGCTATGAGTGTGCCACTGCACTCCAGCCTGGGCAATGACAGAGTGAGACACTGACTCAAAAATAATAATAATAATAATGTAACAGAGTACTCAAACTGAGCCAGAAAAGAAAACTAGGCATCACTGGGTTGGTGGAGGATGATTCACACAGGAAATTTGCCAGAGGGAACCCAAGTGAGATGAGAGATAAATAAGAAACAGCATGTTGAAAAGTGTCAGAAATGTAAACAGGGCAGCTATCATGGTCATACAGTGCATAGTGCCAGAGCCTGGAGCAGAGAGAAGAAGGCATCCAAATGAGAGGGGATGTCCTAGCACAAGGCAGTAAAATATAGCAGGGTGAGGAGAGAAGGGATGAGAGTGGCAACTGATGGTGGTGATTAGTTACATACAGAAACACTGATCAAATATGTACACATAGCAAGGAAATTGGAGTTGAGTTTCTCACTGCCAAAGAAGAGAAGTACAAATATGAAAAGAGAAAAAAATAGAATGAGTTGTTTAATGTTGGATTGGAACTCAAGACATTGATATGAACTCTAAGTTGCTGATGTATACATAGATGCATATAGAAATAAAGATATGTGTGCATCAATATTGTGTATATGTGTGTGTATA